TGATTTTCCTATTTATCCATTTATTACATGACCTTAAAATGAAGACAATAATCTTTGGATATATTGAATAGATATACAACTTGTGCAATAGATTCTATATTCAGCTAGAGGAAAATATGTCTGAAAACTTTGGACAAATATATGAATAAGTCTACGAATACTTATATTTGAGGATTAGTTACTTCTGAGTAAAAGAACTTGGCTATATAAGATAAAATTTTAAAAAATAATTCTATAGCTGGTTGATGGAGGAAACAGATTAAATGAGTCAAAAACTAAGATGTTAAGGAACATTGTTCTCCTTTAGAAATTCTCAGTTTAAAATTAAATCCTCATATAAGATTGAAGGTGAAACATGTAGTTTGAGTAGTAAGTAGTGAGATAATTCTTAGGCCATATCAGTTCTCTTTATAGATACGAGCACAGCTATCACATTGCTACTGGGGAGCACACAACATATATGTTTATATTAAGCCTTTGCATATGATTGAGGCAAATTTTGGATTCTTGAGGCCAAATTGTACATTCATTCACACTGCTAGATCAGTTACACTTCAGAGGAAATGATACCATAGAAATGACTCCCTTGAGAAAAAAAAAACCCGTTTCTGAAATGCCACAGGTTGTTAGCCTTGTGATGGCTCATCTATGGCTAAAAATCATTTATTTCTATTGCATTTATTGAAAAATACACTTGCATGAGATTAGTTAGTTTTAAAATATGCCTAAAGCAGACAAGAGGCAGATTTGTAGATAGTAAAAATGTTTCCCAGAAGCCATGAGTAATAACTAATTTTCAATCAAATTCTGTTGAAGTAAAACTCATTCCAAGGTAAAAAAACAAAAAGGGAGTTTTTATATCCTTTGGGGGAGGGAGAAGGAGAAATCCTGCATTTGCCTTTACAGCCCTGCCTCTAAGCAATCAAAAAGCCATTGTTGATGATTAATAATATAATTAAAACCATGCATCAGGAAATGTATAATAGGAATTTAGTATTGAAATTTCATTCATTGCAATAGCACTTTTATTATAAATTCTACTCAGAGGAGAAACACTCTATAATAGGGGTATCCAACCCCCGGTCCTGGACTGGTACCAGGCTACGGCATGCTAACAACTTGGCCACACAAACAAGCAAAGGCCCATCCATGGCATGCAGGCAGCACACAAAACCACGCCCCCTCCGGTCTGCAGAAAAACCTCTCTCCACATAACCGGTCCCTGGTGCCCAAAAGGTTGGAGACCTCTGCTCTATAAGACAGTGATCTTCAACCTTTGCGGCTGGGGGGGGGGGAGGGGAACACACAGACTGGTTTCTAGGCCAGCACCTTAACTATTAGACAAAATTGATTCTCTTATATATGAAATGTAATTATCTCTTTGAGACAAATACAGATATAGCTATTCTTCAGAAATTTTCCAGGTTTGGGGTAGAGGGTTCCCCCAAGATTACAAACAGCGAACTGCAGAAAGCTACCAAGTTGAGTAGCACACTGCTTACCCCTTCCATGTCCTAATGCATCAGGCATTAGGAACAAAGAAAGGAACAATGAAATATGTCTAGTACTGGGTCAAATTGTCAGCCTGTCCAATATGCTACTATCTTTTGGAGTTGGTTACTTCAAAATCAAAGCTCAGTGTGACAGTATCATATTCAGTTTCTAAATGAGTCTATAAGGATTTATGCGAAGTCGTTAATTACTAATGTACTTTCTTCTGAGTTGTTCTTTGTTACACTCCTACTCTGGCACTCCTGTCTTTATAGACAAACTGAATAAAACACACCTAGTCATATTGTGAAATTTTATTGTTTGGTTTTTGGCTAGATCTCTCCTAGGTGTAGACTGGAATTCTTTATTTTTGTAACATGATAGGCATATCAAAAGTCAAGGTAACCTGGTGACTGATACACATAATAGAGCTTTGACCCAAGAAAATATGTCAGCGCAAATTATGGCATTTGAGATAAGTAACACCCCAAAGGATTGAATTTATACTACGTTGGCTTAATTAAAACATATCCATTGTGAAAGCAAAGTCATAATCTTCCAAGTTGTCTTTGTGGACAGTGACCTACCTGAGAATGTGATCCTATGTTATTACAATAGGTGAAAATTCTGAGAAACTGAGTAATAAAAAGCTTCCACAGAAATACATTATATGTGGGGTTTGGCAATGAAATCATTTTTCAGGTTTTCCCTTGCTCTTCCCTGATACGCTTATGCAAATCTTTAACTGGGAATTACACTTGAGTTGTTGCAATAAAATATGTGTGAGTAGCAAAAGTCTCATGATTTGTTGGAAACATGTCTTTGGCTAATAAAATAGCAATACAGTCTTGTGGCATTAGGCAGTCCTTTGCCTTCAGTGAGTTATAATAATCACTTTTTTTCATAACAATCACTCTGTTGACTTGGCTACTAAATTAGCAACAGCTAGTCATTTTGATGTGGTGGTTAAAGGTGGTTGACTAGAAGTAGGAAAATCTGAGTTCTAGTTCTCCAATAGACACAGAAACCAGGTGACTGTTTTGGGGCCAGTTTTCACCTAGTAAAGAGGTAATTGGCAGACAACTGAAAATGTTGCTAATACAACTATATTAACCTGTCAATGTGGTCACCAGGAATCCGATTGACTCAAAGGACCATAACAGCTCTTCCTTAGACAATCAAATTGCCTTCAAGAGTCCACTTGTTGATCCCTCTTCTAAAGTGTAAATTGCAGAATTGTTTTTCTGGATTCCTCTTGCAATATTGTGCAAGAGACAGATTATAGAAACTATCCTAGACAGCTTAGCTCATGATTCACCGCCATGGCACCTGCAGGCACCAACATCCATACAGAAAACAACCCTTGGTGTTTACCAGTTCTTAGAATCCCTTATTTTTTAATTGATTCTTTTAATTAAAATCAAATAGGACCCCCAACATGCAATAAAACAAAATGATCGTCCCAGACATGATTTTAAATATATATATGAAAAGGAAGGGAAGGGAAGGGAAGGGAAGGGAAGAAGGAAGATTCCCAATGCATTCCAGATTCCAAGGAAATTCATGAGGGAAGCCAGAAGGAAGTCGGAAGTTGCTCCTGCTCCTACTATTTTTTTTGCCCACCTTTGGCAATTCTGTTTCTTCTTTTGATAAAGAAATACTTCAATACCAAAACAGAAACAGAATCACCAAAGGTGGGAAAAATTGTTGGAATGAATGGAGATCAGTTAGCCTTTGAGTTCTATCAGCAATCTGGTTTGCCCAAAATTCTGCAGTTAGAGATCCTGGAATTATCATTAAAATTTCCTCTTCCTTCTCCTCTGCTCAAAGGACATAAGTTCATCATAAACGACTTTACAGTGAATCAGAATGCTCAGCATATCTAGCTCAGTATCATCCTGATTAACACCAAGATTTCAGATAGAGGCTTTATGTAGATCTAAGGATTACACTTGACTGGGACTTTAGCTGCACAAATCATGCTATCTCTGAACCTGGGTAGCCTTTTTTTTTTTTTTTTTTGTATAGTAGAATGCAAATTGCTGGCACTTTCTATCTTTCCTTTCTATATTTTCACAACATCACCATCTTAGAGCTGCTAGCAAATGATTCATTGAAATCTGAGCTTACCAGAAAACCCACATTGACAATGTGTGTACAGTACATGCTGATGCAACATATGACTTAGCCCAGCCCTATTTACTGTACAGTATTGACATGCTGATTACAAGGAAGTTAATTGAAAATATTAACTATAAAAGTTCAAAATAGAGGTTACCTCTGATAGTTTATTATTTGACATCATGTTATAAATGCTGAAAAACAAACAGTTGTCTCCAAAAAGCCATCTACCCCAACCCTTGAAATAAGGGGTAACTCTAGTTTCTGATCAAGGAACTAATGGTAGCCTGGATGAATTGTGAATTGTACTGGGTTTACATATTGTATTGTACTATGTAACATGGTTTAATTGGTTTGGTATTAAATTTATGTTTATTTTGATCACAAACTTCACTCTTCACTGAAATAGGCTTTATTTTTAATTAACTGAGTACCTTGCTGTATTCTAAAAAGCCTACATATTCAATAGAAGTAATTCATTTTATGGATTGCATTCTTGTTGAGCAGGTTTCTGAAGATTAAAAGCTTTACCCTTATATTTCAATGTCTGCTCATAAAAATTTCTCAGAAGAGAAAAACAATGAGATTATCTATAGTTCTTCCTAGTTTTCAAAGGTGCCATTCACTTACCATCTCTGTAATGGACAGAGACATAAAGACTTAATAGGGATAAATACATCTTCCTCTTATACAATGCCTCTATGTAAGATTCATCATGGCAATTAAGGTCTACCATGTTTGACTAAGTTAATTCTGATATAACTCACTACCTATTGCGTCCCACCAATAGGAAATTTTGTGTATATTCTTATAAATGTTAAATACAGTATTTTTCACAAGTAAGATCATTGTCCTAACTATAACCGTTTCTGTACTGTGGATAAGTTGTAAAATATTTATTAAAAAATAGTTTGCAGGATGAAATACTAGTTTAAAAATGGGAATATTCTCTAAATGTTTAAGGCAACACGGTGTACAAACCAGAAGATTTTGAGTTCTAGTCTTTCTTAGCCATGAAAGCCAGCTGGGTGACTTTGAGCCAGTCACTGTCTCTCAGTCCAATTCAACTCATAGGCTTGTTGTTCTGTGGAAAATAGGAGAATGAAGGAGTGGTAGATATGTTTGCTGCCTTGAGTTATTTATAAAAAATAATAAAGGTGGGATAAAAAAAGACTTTAAAAAGACTAAGGCAGTTTTTAGATTTCATAAAGAATCATGAAACAAAGAAAACATTTTATAATTTTCTCCTAACTACATGAGAATATTTTGGATTATACTGTTGTTCCCAGGGTTTCACAACTAATAAAGAAATTTAGTGTTACAAGAAATATAGGTTATATCCAAAGCTATGGGAGTTTTCCAGCTATAATTTGTGATGCTTCTTCCAGATACTTTGCTCTGGAGACCTCCTCCAGCTTATGAAGCAGATTTGGGTAAGTACTGTATGTTCTCATTCATACAATAGTTGAATGCCAAATGGAACATGGATGGGAAACATGTTAGTAGGAAGTGGAAAGAAGCCAAGGGTGTCAAAAGCTGGAATAGTATAGAATAGTAGTGGCGAACTTTTTAGAGATCGAGTGCCCAAACTGCAACCCAAAACCCACTTATATATTTCCAGGTGCCAGGTGGGCGTGGCCCACTGGGTGGGCATGGCTGTGGTGGTCATGGCAAACTGGGTGGGTGTGACCAAGGTGGTGTGGTCACCTTGATGTTGCTCATGGGGAGGGACGCCTGTGGAGGCTGGGCAGGGTTGGGGAAGATCCAGGGGATCTCTGGCAGGTGGGGCAGTGGGCAGGAGGCTCGTCCTGCGGGGTGAGGCAAGGCGAGGCAGGGCGGGGACAGCTGCTGCCTGACACCATCGGCCCCCATACACAGAAGCCAGCGAGCACATGGGGGCCAACAGTGTCCGTCAGCAGCCACAGCCTGCTAGTCCCTCGACTGGCACACTCTGGGGCTCCGCAGGCCGCCATCAGCAGTTGAGAGAAGCCGCCTCTGAGCTGGACGGCCGGCTGACAGCTGAGGAAGTGATGCAGTGGGTTGTGCCTGGGAAAAGGAGAGCATGCGAGGCCAGGAGGGATGGGACGGAGGGAGGGAAACCAGCCATTCTGGGACGCATCTGGCCACGTGCAACATCAGTTAGCAGGCGGCTGGTTGATGAGGGATGGTTGCCATCTCTGGGGCATGGTGCATGTGCCCACAGAGAGGGCTCTGAATGCCGCCTCTGGCACGCGTGCCATAGGTTTGCCACCACTGGTATAGAACAAAAATCATTTTGATCAACTGTAAATTTTCTACAACTTGTTACATTAGTTCATTACATTAACTATATCAAAGGTTTGGCTTTAGCTGTGAATGACTAAAAATTTCTTGTGCTTTTTCTTTCCAACTGCAGTTACATAACACTTGAGAAATGATCCTAAAGGAGCTATACATTCAAGGAAAATGAAAATATTTAGATTATTACATATTATGTGACATTACTTTTTCCCCAATTGGGATATTCTATTTCACTGACTGGCCATGCACCATCAAGATGGTGTTGACTCTTAGCAATATAGATTTTCTCCCAGATGACCTGTCCTTAACCTGGTTTTCCAAGTCTTTCACTGCTGTTAAGTGAACCCATGCACCAGATTTGCGCTATTATGGAGCAATCTGAAATCAAACTATTGACAATAGACTTGTATTCTACAATTGGAAGGTAACCTATACCTTTAATACATCAGCAGCTTCAGTGTGGAAAGATTCATGGAAGATGCCACCAGAAGCCATCACTTTAGAGAAATGTCAGTATGGAATATAGCTGTTTTGGCTGCTGTAGCATTTTCCACTATTAAAACTAGGTTGCCATAAATATCAGCATTAGGATTCATAATGGAAAAGAACAGTCATGTTCCTCCAGCTTCTCAAGTATATTTACTTGAACATTATGTAACAGAACACTGGACCTGATAGACCTTTGCCTTGATAAAGTACTGTAGTTCTATTATGACCAGAAGCTATAATGTTCCAATTTGATCTTTCAAAAGGAGCTTAAAGAGCTAGAACAGTGGTGGCGAACCTATGGCACGGGTGCCAGAGGCGGCACTCAGAGCCCTCTCTGTGGACACGTGTGCCGTCACCCCAGTCCTTGGCCTTCAGCTGGGTTTTATAAAACCTTTTCACTTTAGACCTCTGATGCTGTGTGCAAAAAAAAAAAAAAAAAAAAAAAAGTTCAATCAGTCAATTTCAACTATTCGCGGGAAAAAAAGATCTTGCAAAGTTGGGATTGATTGAACTTTTTAGTCCCACCCAGTCTGCCGTTACCACTACAGCCACGCTCACCCAATGGGCCACACTCTTCCAATTGGCCACACCCAGCCAATGGGCCACACCCACCCAGCACCCGATGATGCATAAGTGGGTTTTGGTTACAGTTTGGGCACTCGGTCTCTAAAAGGTTCACCATCACTGAGCTAGAACATTTTGTGATTCCCTTCTGTTCCAAAGTTAAAATCAAATGTTAAGTTTTGAAGTGGAAATCGTCTTTCAGTGGAGGGAAGCCTTTGTGTTGGAGTCATATTTCATGTAGAATATAAAAAGGAGATATTTTCATATTTCTGCTATCACTTTGCCTTTGGAAACCAAGAGCCAGTTTAGAGACTAAGTTTGTGCCACACATCTGGAAGATCCTCAAAGAGATGCCTCTCATAGCTCATGTTAGGAATGCTTCACAAAGATATTTCAGCCTCAATTCTACCGACTCCTTTAACTATCAAAAATTTCAAAGCAAATTTCTAGTTTCCAAAGAATCAGGATATCCTGTCCTTCCATTAAACTTATGAAATTGTTTTGTTCTAGAGGAAACCTTTTCCCTCCCTACTTTAGGTGAACTAAACTTCATCTCACCATGGCTTATATCACCTTTCATGCTGTTCACCAAAAAAATTATTTCTATGGCTCACTGTGGCTGCAGCAGAAAAGGGGAATAACTGGAAATTGTCTGCCTTTTGATATTAGCAGCAATGCCTACTTGATAAAAAAAAAAACATTGTGCAAGCAAATTGGCAGCACTTGATTTCCATTCATAGATTGCCATTGTGATCTACAGTATTGCTATGGTATACAAATACAATACTATTGTAGAAAACACTAGGATTTCAGCTAGATATACTAAAAGCTTTATTATTCTTACCAAAATATTTTTTATGTGCAGTAAATATGTGCACATATGCATATTCTGTCTGCGTGTATACGTGTCATAAAATAAAATCTGACACTGGAATTCGAAGAGGCCAGAGAATTCAACCTCTTCCTTAATGCAGGAATCCAAGTTAAATAACTTCAAGAGAATATATCAAAGAAAGGGAGCCTACCACATCTCTAGATAATTGGTCGCCTTGTTGATCTGCTTTTCCTAACAGAAATATCCCCCCCCAACAGTCAGTCAGAATCTGCCTTTCTGTAACTTAAATCCATTAGTCCATATTGTGCGCTGTGGAATGTGAAAAAACAGGACCTGACTTTCTACTCTAACATCCTTTCAGGTATTTGGAGAGTGTGAAGATATTTCCCTGTAGCACTTTTTGTAGGCTAAACATACTCAGCTCTTTTAAATCCTCTTCATGGAATTTAATTTCTAGTCCCCTGATCACTTTTAAATTTTCCTAAATCCACTTTCTCTGACTCTTTCAAATTCAGTGTCGAGAGCTGGACAACACTACTTGGGGTGGGGTCTGCTCAAAGCAGAATTAAGATGGCATGATTACTCCCTTGAAGTGTCATTAACTTCCATTCATGTATCCTGAAATGACATATGCCTATTTTGTAGACAATCCACCCTGTTAACTCATAGTAGTTTCCAATCAATTACTTTTCCAAACTGCCATTACGAAACCAGCGATAACCCTATTCTGTATCTGTGCACATGATCTTTATTTTTCACGGTATGGTAAAATCTGAACATTGCTCTATTGGAGGCTTCATGCAGCTTTCCCTGTACTTCCTTTTTAGTGATTATGGAACTGTGTTGAAGTTAATGTCAGTAACTAAAGTCAACATAAAATCATCTCTGTGTATCAAATGTTCCTACAATTGGAACGTACAGTTCTCTTTTCAGCATTACTTGTTTTTATTTCTGTAAGAGATTGTGTATGTAATTGACAAATAAATATTTAGTTAATACTAGGCTGCGTTTGCATAAAGTGTCATCAGGGCCAAAGAAGTCTTCTGTTCTTTCTATTGCACATAGTGTTATGTATTTTAATGGCAGGGATAAGTGGCTCGTATCATTTTGCATTTAAATAGTATTTTAATATTTGTCTGGAGGTCATTTTAATAAATAATTTTGATATCATTTCATCTATGGCAAAATTCAACTCTTTTGTTACTAGTCATCTTCACAAACGTCTGCCTTTCAAACTTTGTGCCTGGCATCCATCTCATCCCCACAGAGCAAGTAACGTTGAAGTGCAAATTACAGCAATATATTCCCATTTTACTTCTTGTTATGACATATGTAACTTTTATAATGTTATTAAATAGATTGGCACCTTCTAAAACAGTGGTTCTCAACCTTTTTAATGCCGCAACCCCCAATCGGTCGTAAGTCGAGGACTACTCAACTGGTGCATTACTGTTTGCAGAATGGGACTTTTGGCGGGCTCAGCAGGGCAGAGACAGCCTGGACAATTCCTATTGGCTTTTGAAAGCCAATAGAATTAGACTCTATTTGGCGACCCCCATGAAATGGTCGTTCGACCCCAAATAGGGTCCCGACCCACAGGTTAAGGACCACTGTTCTAAAACATTTTGATAAAATAAACACACCATTCATTTCTGCATATTATTTTTTTTCCAGGCAGCTTTCATTATTTTTCAAATACCTAAAATTTTGGACTGATTTCTGCGTTGACATGTATTTTGAATTATCCAAAGAAAACAGCACGTAGGAGAAATCTGCTCACTTTCTTAAAGTGTCATTTTTCAAAAGTAAAAGCTAATGTATTATTTTGGCATACTTCTATTCAGGGTAGTCTTTCAAAACATATATGAAATAGTTTTGAATATTTCGCCTGCTGGATATCATGATGTGTTTCTTCTGTAAAAAAAGAAAAAGAAAAAAAGAAATCCTGAATTTAAAAGTTATAAGGCCACCATGTTTTAATGATATATTGTTAAACGCTAGAATATGAATTACAGAGAAGATCCTAAAACAAAAAATTATTACATAACTTGAGAGGTAAAGGAGAATTGTATAATTCAATATTTACAACGAGGAATAGAAATTAAGGTGGGTATTCTTCACACTCTTAATAAACAATGTTGGATGGTTAGTGTTTAATAATCAGACACGTCCTAGAAATCCAATAATACTGTACTGAAAGGTAGTTTTTAGGGAAAAAGTTACTAAACAATTCCATTTTCTCCGCTGGGAATTACAGAAGGATCAATTCCATGTTGTTTCATTTGTACTGCAATGTCAAAAAGGTAGTCGTAACATTCACACCTGAAGAATATATAAAGGGAAAAATAAATAAAGGTGGTGTGTAAATATAAATCAACTAATTTACTATTACAGCAGAAATAAAACTAAATGAAAGTTTTCACAATGTACAATACTACATTCACAGAAAATGAAAACAATTCTGAATTTAAGATTGATACAGACCGGGGGGAAAAAAACCACCATGTCTATCTCAAATACCCTACTCTCAACTAAACTAAGACAACCTTTCCCCTGTAAAATAACGTACCTGAGGGGGGAAAAAAACCCCTAACATTTTGTTAAGGTGAATATAATATTATCTTGGTAATAATAACAATTTAAAAATATTTCTCACTATGGAGGAATTCTGAGGTACCAGAATATTATGTAAATATGTTTACATAATTGGTAAACATATATACTATATATCACCATTCAAAAATCTTTTTAAAACTTTGCTGTTGTTATACTAATAGAAGCGCTGCAAGTATTTATAAAACAACTGTAAACATAGAATGGTATAGTAGAGAATATTTTTACACTTGGTAATTGGAATAATTCCCAATTTTCAAACAGAAAAACAGAAAAATCAGGTGAAATAGAAGCAAACACAATCTAGCTATACTTAAATCTTAAGAAACTGTATTAACAAGTTCTGGAAGAGATAGGCCCACCAATATATTCGTTTATTTCCTCGTTCTACTCACATTGTCTTGGCTTTTTCCCAAGTTTCACCCCAAACATAAACACCATGACGCCTGACCAGCACGGCACAAGTGTCCGGATATGTGTTCATTGCATGTGCCATTCTCTCCTTCAAGTCCTTCTCTTCAGGTGTATTCTCAACAATAGGGACTACTAACATGTCATCATATCTGAAAAAAATGAGGTTGCATTGACATGAATAACATGGTCCTATATCACTTTAGCCTCTCAAGCCTAGTTATCATTGCATTGCTTGTTCAATTTGTTTAAAACATTTATGTCCATGTTTTCTCTTTAAAGAAGAGGGAGTCAAGCTATTCTCTAAAGCACCTGAGGGCAGGACAAGAAGCAACAGATGGAAACTAATCAAGGAGAGAAGCAACCTAGAAGTAAGAAGAAATGTCCTGACAGTAAAACAATTAATCTGTGGAACAACCTGCCTCCAGAAGTTGTGAATGCTCCAACACTGGAAGTTTTTAAAAAGTTATTGGACAACCATTTGTCTGAAATGGTATAGGGTTTCTTGCCTGAGCAAGGGATTGGACTAGGACCTCCAAGGTCCCTTCTAACTCTCCTATTCTATTCTATTCTATTCTATTCTATTCTATTCTATTCTATTCTGTTCTGTTCTGTTCTGTTCTGTTCTGTTCTGTTCTGTTCTGCTCTGCTCTGTTCTGTTCTATATCCAATGTGGCCAACAATTAAAGCAAGCAATAACATCCCCTCCATTTTAAAACTAAGAATCTATGAAAGCATTACAACAAAGATAACTGCTGTACCATGCTATCATAAAAAAAACATAATCAAATATACAACTGCCTATTTAATTCTGACAAAGGAAGTAAATGAGCAAAAATGTAATAAGCATTACAGCTTGTTCACAATGAGAATCTTTAAAGACTTATTTTAAAACATTGTTTTCTCACCTATTTCAAGATGTTGATCACCGCATAGGGGAAAAGTAATTGGGAACATACATTCAGTGGGCACAATCCAAACAAGGGTTAAGATAACAGTGACAAAATTACCTAGAAAGAAATCTGATTGAACTCAGCGGTGTTTGCTTGGATCTTGATTGAAAAAAAAAACCAGATTATACCATCAGTGGTTTCAAAGATATTGACAGTCTAATTTTGACTGGATAATGCCAACTATAAGATGATGTGTAATTTATCTTAGATATAACAATGAAAGATATTACACTTTTCTTACCAACAGTTGATTGTATTCTTGTTTTCAAAAAGTAGCAAAATGTACTGAATCACTTGTTACTATTTGTTACTACTTATATTTACCCAAAACGAAGATGAGCTTAAATGTAAAAAGTAAAAGTCTTCTTTTACATTGTACAAGATACAACATACACAGCTCTACCAATTCAGGAAAAATATCAGGCAGAGATGGGATATAGGAAGGAAATTAAAGTAAATATATAAGAGCAGGCTGTTTTCGGGAAGTGGTAGAAAGCAATTTGTGCTAGTTTCAGCAAACCCATCCATGTTTACACTGCATTCAACTCTTCAACTTCAGACTGAATAGCTCTTATTCTTAGAAACGTATTTGCAGACCATGGCTTTACTGGGAATAGATCTCTTTAATATGGTTTATTCCATGTGATAGTTGGAGGATATCCTTGGGGCCTGGAGAAAACTAGTTTGGGGATGGCTTCTTTCTTTGCGAAATAAAGAAACATATCAACAGAAATTTGTCCTGGGTTGCAAAGCAAATGAAGGTTAGTACATGTTTACTTGGTAGTAAGCTGTACTGAGTTCAGTGGCTCTTCCTAGGTAGATACGCTTAGTCCTATTCAACTGTTATGAAATCTGGCAATAGCTTAATTATGTTTAAGGAATGCAAATAAATATTCTAGCCCTGATCTCTTCTTATTACCTTCCCTGTGGAAAGGCTGAACATCAGTAATGGCATATTTATCTGGTTGCTATCTGAATGACTGTGGATTATGATCTTTAAACATCTTAACCCAAGCCTGGTATTCTGCTAAACAGAAATAACAGTAGCAACTGTTTCATACTTCTGCCTCTGTTCCAGTCTTCTGCTTTATTTGTGCCATCTCCTTGCCTTCAACAGTGTTGACCAGTATCCAGAATAATTTAGTCACTTTATCTATACCTGGGGCTCTAAAAGCCTAGTATTATTATCCATTAGGCAAGCAGCAGAGAGAACATTGATCAAAAGTCAGATTCCTATTATAAAATTACATATCTATCTGCATATTGCTAAAAAACAATTCCATATTTTCCTACTAACTTTGGAGTCCTGAATTAAGAGCACCCTCTGTAAACTTGGTAGCTAGTTTTTAAGTAGAAATAATAATGATGATACATGTTTACAGCATTACCCAATTGGTAGTTGTTACAACACATCTCCAGTTTCATGGAGGACATGTGGAAACATCTCCTCTCATACTGCTGTATTCTTCAGGGTGTCTACAATTCTATGTTCCAAACTTAAGCTTTCTAGATAAAACGTTAGCATATCTCAGTATAAGAGAAGCTGCAGCATTTTTTATTTATTGTCATGATATATTATCGTACAATCAAATAAGTATGGTGTATATAGGTAGTAGTCTGCCAATTTGAATTAAATTGGGGTGAACAGTGCCAGGATAATCTCACCTTATTATTCATTGTGCAAATTCCAGTGAGTAATTTGCTGAATCTTGTTCATAGCTGAGATTTTTAGAATATTATGTTGATAATATCAATCCACTAAAATGTCTAAGCCATTTTTACTTAGGGACTTGAGATAAGTTTCACTGAAGTCAGACACTTGTTTTCTCTCTCAAATTCATCATGCAAAAATGCAGATTCATTACTGGAATTGTTAGGTGGCATAATCTTCACAAAATTAAAACTTGCTTTATAATGAATAGTTAAAGCATAACAGTGACTGTTAGACTAAATAATATTTTATAATGGGTGACATTGCTAGGTAGTTTAACCTTCCTGCTGATAAAATATTTTCCCCTTCTCATTTTATTCTTCATACCTTCTCCAATTTTCCAAAGAACTAAGTGATTACCCATTTTTTTTATGAAACACAAAATAAAGGAGATTTGTTGTCATCTTAAAAGTTATTTCTTTTGTTGACTGGCTATTCCAACAGAGGGGGGGGGATGGGATTTTGAGCCTAAAGTATTGTAAATATAAACAGTTCTTCTATCTATCAAGATAAATTTACAAAGAACAGGAGAACAAGCTTGTCTTAACGTTTCTGGAAAAGGTTTCTGGGTATTCACATAATTGGGAGTACATGATTGCAATGGATTTATTTTAGATCAGAGGTCCCCAAACTTTTGGGCACCAGGGACCAGTTCTGTGGAGAGAGATTTTTCTAGGGATCAGAGGGTGCGTGATTTTGTGTGTTGCCTACATTTCACAGATGGAGCTTTGCTTGTTTGTGCGGACCAGTTGTTGGCATGCTGCAGCCCGGTATTGGTCGACAGACCGGAGATTGGGGACCTGTTTTAGATTCTGGGGGTTTGGAATAAAAGTTGAACACAAAAATTATAGAAGTTTTTCTAGCACATCAAAGACTAGCAATTATCGCAGAAGCTTTGGTGGGTCATAGATCCCTTTATCCAATGCATAATGTGATAATGTCTTTAAGGATTCTATTGTTTTATTTCAAAAGACAAAAACTGACTTGAAAAAAAAACTGCATGTATGAGGGAGTACTCAATATCACTCCAATGTTATTTATTAATGTAAATTACCTGAAATATCCCCCTGTAGTACATTTCTTGATTCCTTTTATCATCTCCTGATGAGTGATTTTAAACTCTTTTCCTGGATACAAAAGTGTGGCCATTACAGCAGCTTTGGAATGAGTATGAATCACTGCTCCGGCTCCTAAAACAATATTTTTTAAAGACGATATGATTCAAAAATTCAGTATTTGTTCTCAAATTTGGCACATTTTATGTACTTTGATTCACAAATGGCTTATATATAAACCCACCTCAACTTGAGACCTACCAAAACATCTGTAATACAGTAAGGACTGTAATACTGACTGCACATTATGGAAGTTACTGATCTCAATGCATCTTTACAGAATGCAAGACAGTACTTATTGTCAGATCTATTCAAATCATGATTATTCAAGGAAAGTATGTCTGCATCACTAGTGCCTATCGTAATAGTCTTAAACAAATTTCTTCCCAAACACTTTTAACACTGGGTTGCTGCCACCAACAGACTAGACGTAGAATTGTTTCAATATTCATAATTTCCTGTCTTTATAACTTGGATGTCTGAGAATATAGGGATGGATGTAATTTTCTCTTATTATAATTCTCTATAATTTATCTCGGTGTGGGAAAATTGGAAGACTCACTGACTTCTCACAGATGACATCTTTAAAAAATCCAAATCTCCTTCTATTTGGATTTTTTAATTTAGCCTCATGCTCTATTTCAGGAAGGGTATTTTATTCAAGCCCATCCTCTATTCCAGGGTAAACATTTAAAACCTACCTATTCTGAATATAAGGCATGAATTACAAGAAGCATAGGAAGACTTTTCTTTGCACATCTTTCCAACTTTCATTTTCCTCCTGTTTCTTTTTTACTCCAATTAACAGGGAGACTTATAGATCAGCTGCTAACTTACAAAGCATACACATTAATTGGTTATTTTTAAAATTTATTACATCAGACAAAAGTAATGACTACAATAAAAATTCCATTGGAACTGTAAACATGCTACTCATAAAATAGAGCTATTGTCAATGAATTTGCTGTAGTTTTGCAATCTGTTCCAATTACTGGGATCTGTCAAGGATGCTCAGGCCTATAGGCTAGACTGGGAGGTTAAAATAAAACCCTCAGGAACGAACTGCATCCTTCAATTATATAAACTGGCTTAAGGCTCTTTCTCTACATCAGCTCAATAATTCTAAAAAAAATGAATAGAAGGGGACCAAATTTGGTCTGGAGTGAGAAAGTGGTAGAAGAAAATAGAGTTAAAAAATGGGGTGAATCAACCTGGAGGTTGTAGAGGGAAACAAAAATCCAGAAAAAAAACAAAACACCTGCTGTGGGAGAGGCCAATGACTCAGAGTATTGCCAATTTCTGGGGTCCCCTCCCTCCTGGCCATGTTTGCTATTATTAAAGGATTGCAAATAATTCCAGAAGCCACACTTCATGCCTTTTCCTACTTTTTCTTTTTTGGAAAAAAGAAGAAGAAGAAGAAAGGATTGTACTGTAATATATCTCCACCCAGGACTTGGCTGAGGATGAATGAAAGATCCTTTTAACCTAGGTTGTTTTGTTTCTACCCAATTTGTTATTCCTGTCATCGTTATCCTTCTTTTGTTTCCCAGTTTTCATTGTCTTGTTTTTCAGGTTTGCAATCATTTGTAATCATCCAGAATTGCTGGGAGTCGGGTGGCTTCTAAATCATCATAATCATCCACCTTCCAGTCACATTGCAGACAAAAATCACTATATTATCAATGGCAGTGACCTCCAAGGATATTTAGGCCCTACCTCTCATGATATAAGCATTCATGAACAGAGGTGTACATTGGCTCTTCTTGAGTTTCTTGTAGGACGGAGGGCCACTGATGTCTTTTTCTTCGATATCACACACAAACATGTCTTCAGGCTATAATGAAAGAACAGCCAGCTGGGATAATCGTCCCTTTTCAATAACAACAACAAAAATACTTCAGAAAAAATTGACAAATCGTGGAAATCTAATTTGGGGCAATGTTATTTCAAACTGAGAAACTACTAGAACAAAGGCATGTTGATACAATCGATTCAATTTACTGGGATTCTGAGTACATGTACCTTAGTGAGGCAGCCAAGCACCTATGCAAGAACACACTATATTACAGACAGTCCAAAAATATCCTCTGCAGGATCAAGCTCAATAGAAACTGGTTTTTCTACTGTGCAGGAGAAGCTGGCTATAAGCAGCACTCACTGGCTAATGCTTGTGCTGTCAGAACCTCTGCTCTTCCTATATCTGCAGTGTTTTACAGGTCTTTAAAAATGTATTTTCCCTTCAAAGGCAAAATGAAGTGAAACCCTTCTGAACAGAGAACCTAGCAAGACATCTAATCATGTTATTTTTGTACACTGTATGACGTTTTATGGTTTTAAAACTATTCTTGCACATAGTATAATGTTTTATGGTTTTAGAAGCTTTGATAACACTTGGAAGATTGCTTCTCCCCACTTCAATGCAATACAGATGCAACACTGATACACCTCACAGTATAACGGGAAGTGGCACTGACGTCACTAAGATTACATTTAAGTAAGAGAGCTGATTGTAAATTTAATTATTCTACTTTATACCCAACGCACTTGCTTGATTTTAATGGGCTGACGTTATTAAGCACTAGTATTTGCAACCATCACAGCCTTGGTGATCAGTTTTCAAACATTTCTCCTTGAAAAGATTAAACAAACAAATGAAAACTGAGACTGCAATTATCCACAATCCATCTTCTAAATCTGGCACATTCAAATGAATAAACAAACACAGCTCTATTTAAACATGCACAATGTAATCAAATCCATTTAATTCAGTGGAACTTACACCCAAATAAATTGGGATAATATTCTAGTCTTAAATCAGAAAATGTGCATTAATATTGATGAAGATTAATGCAATCTTAGAGGCCGTAAGTTAGTTCTAACTATTAATGCTGCTTTTTATAATAGTATCATAAAATGTGTGAAATATAACTTTTCAAATTTGCAAAGCATTTAATTTAAATTCCAGTGATTCATTGCAGTATAATGCTTTAAAGCAGGGGTGTCAAACTGCCAGCCCGTGGGCTGGACGCATCATCCGGAAGCCGCACCCACCCCATTGCCGGCAATGGCAAAACCGTCCCGATACGTTGCGCGACGTCACGTGACATCGCAAGTTTGACATGTCTGCTTTAAAGTGTTTCTCATTCAGGACTAGTATTTTTCATTGTTTAAAAAATGCTGGCAGCATTAATCTAGAATTATAAAAGGGAAACCTTTTTTCACTTACCTTCTGAATTGAGAGGAAGCGTTTGTCGATAGTAAACACTTTGATTTTCCTCAAAGCCAAAAACTAAAATAAATAATCTATATTTGCTCTTGCCCACATATGGAGGGAAGTTGGAAACTGCTACCCTGGATGTGATCCTTTTGTCATACCTTGAAAACAAGTTCCCTATGAAGAAGTCACTTTAGTGGAGGAGCAAGGAGTAGGAGAGAAAGCTCTTCCCCCTTTGTGTTGCCTGCTACTCTCCCCTGCCCAGATACTACTTGGCGGAAGGAGAAGCAGAGGAATGGTAGAATATGTTCTTCACTCTTATTGACTAGCTGAGTTGTTGCCCCAATAAGGACTAGCAGTGGTCCTCTCCAGCAACCCAGAGGTCATGGCAGAAGTCATGGACAGAAGAAGCCAGGGATCTCCACTTGGGGTGGATGGGCAGGAGAGAGGTAGACATACATCCCTATGGATGAATGGAGCAGGAGGGTATGAGAATGGGCCAGCTGGAGTTGTGCAGGTACCCAACCTGCCTTAGATTTCTCCCCATGCAAATGTTTACACAGAGGAGCTCTTATAGCATTGCTACTGGAAAACACTCCTTCCTTACTAGATCCTTTTGATTCATCTTCAACCAGTCCTAATGGAAGGCTGATGCAGAGATGGAGGTTCTTGTGTTATTGTTACCCCCGATAACCTAAGAGCAGGGCATCTGTAGAGAGCCAAGAGAATCCTTTGAAGGACAGGAGGAAGAGCCGTTATCAAGGCAATTGTTAGATAAAAGGGGCCTGAGCCCAGGTCAAGAAAAGAAAGAAAGTAAATGTCTCAAGTGAGCCCCTCCCTAGTTTACTGGAAGATAAAGGGAAGGAGAAGGAAGCACATTCAGACTTGCAAGATTATGTTTCTATTGATCTACAGTACAAATAGAAGTGACCTTCGGTATACGGCATTGGTTTTTCTAGTCTGGTCTACCTCGAAAAAATGACATCATCTAAGCCAGGGGTAGTCAACCTTGGCTCTTTTATGACTCGTGGACTTCAACTCCCAGAATTCCTGAGCCAGCTAATTCTGGGAATTGAAGTCCACGAGTCATAAAAGAGCCAAGATTGACTACCCCTGATCTAAGCCAATCCATACATTTCTTCACTGGTAATTCCTAAATAATTATAATTATAAAGGCACACTTAACTAGTCTCTGATTTTTTCATATAGGAATATAAAATAATAGAGATATAAGAATGCGACTTCCTTTTATGACTTCTAAAAAGCTTCCTGCCATATCCTGTCAAAGTGATTGTCTTTTGACCATCTTATAGGAAGGGACTTCCTTCTACTTATTAATAAAATGTCCAAATTAGATGGTATGCAAAAAGAAAAGATTACTATAGCATACTTCACTTTTGCTGCCCCTCTCATTCATAATGCCTCCTAGAATTTGACCATAAAATCTCACACAGTCCAGAGGAAACAAATAACAAAAATGAAAATTATTTTTTAAAACACATGCGGTAACAATCCCATATGTGTTCCTCTAGAAAAAACTCAGGAAGACTTTCTCATGAATAAGTATGGATGGGTTGTGGATTTATTTTCAAGGCTACAATCCAGATAAAAATACTACTCATATTTACCTGTATTCTTTCTTTTTGGACACCAGACGGAGCAATATATATTCCATTGCTGGCCGGGAAAGAAAAATCAGAACTGTAATTGTAGGCAAAAGGCAACAGGAAAACAAAACTTCATTTACAGACATAACAGAATATACCACAGTTCATTTAGTGACTGTTCAAAGTTACAGCGGCATTGGAGAAAGTGACTCGTGACCATATTTCACACAACCATTTCAGCATCCCCATGTCACATGATCAAAATTCAGATGCTTGGAAACTGACTCATATTTATGACAGTTGTGGTGTCCCAGAATCATGACAAGCAAAGTCAATGGGGAAGCCGGATTCACTTAATAACTGTGTCACTAATGTAATACCTGCAGTGATTCAGTTAACAACTGTGGCAAGAAAGGTCGTAAAATGGGGCAACAATCATTTAACAAATGCCTCACCTAACAACAGAAATTTTGGGCTCAATTGTGGTCATAAGTTGAGAACTACCTATACAATACTTGCTTCTGCTACTACATTTTGGCAACTGTACTTAACAAACTATCACAGGTTTGGCTAATTCGAGAACAGTCAGCATTAATGCAATGAAGCTACATGTATAATTCCTGACATTTTGTCTCACCAGTACAATCAATGCGATTATATAGAACAAGCTTCATAAATATTTGTCACTTTAAACTGCATCAATGAAAAATACATGCGGTTATTGTAGAGGCACAAATCAACTTAATTAAAAGAAGCTACACGGTCCTGCAAACAAAGCTTCCTGGCTAGTAATTACGGCTAAAAGGAAAAAATATTTCACACATCTCTATATAAAATCTGTGGGACAGGATAAAATGAACTCGTTTAAGAACTACTATTTTAATCATCATTACTTCTGGAACCATGCAGAACAGGGACACCTAGTGGTTAATTAGTCAGGTAAAACCAGATTTTCTACTATTTGAAGGCAAAGTTAGCATTATTTTTACATCAGAAAGAAGTGGCAGAGATTCTATCTTCATGAGCCAGATCTCATTGGATCACTAATCTGTAAAATATTTGCAGACAGCAAAAGAAGCCTGCAGGACAGCTATTGGGAATGTTAAGAAATTAACCATTTGTTTGTTAATGCTAACACATTCTCCAAGTGACTCATGGCAATATGCTTGTTCTAACACAGGCATGTCAAACTGCCGGCCCACGGGCTGGACGCGTCATCCTAAAATCGCGCCCACCCCATTGCCGGCAATGGAGAAAAAGCTCCGAGACGTCGTGTGACGTCACGTGACGGCATGAGTTTGACATGCCTGTTCTAACCCATTACATTTTTTGGGCTTTGGTATGTATAACATCTGGATGTAATGGCAGATCACAGTTGATGGAAAAATGAAAAAGTATTTCTCTTCCTTGGACAAAAAATGATTTTATAATTTTCCTACCAGACAGTTTATAAAAACAGTTTCATCAGATATATATGAGCAACCGATACAAACAGAACTATAATAATACTGAACACCTTTTAAAACCCCTTATAACTAGAAAGGACAATATGTGGTATTCTAAGATATAAACCTGCATATGCACAAAAATATTACTTTCCATCTACTGTTTGAAATTATTGAGAAAAATAAATCCATGAATATATTATGTAACTAAATTTTTTTTACTCTGAAGTGGAACATGTAAATAGCTATTTTTGCTCAGCAAAAAACATCTTGAAAATAGTAAAAACATTTCTATTAGGAATACTTTTAAGAGCTGTGGTGGCGCTGAGGTTAGAATGTAGTATTGCAGGCTAATTCTGCCAATTGCCAGCAGTTCAATTCTCACCGGCTCAAAGTTGACTTAGCCTTTATTCCTTCTGAGGTCGATAAAATGAGGACCCAAATTGTTGGGGGGCAATATGCTGACTCTGTAAACCACTTAGGGCTGTAAGGCACTAAGAAGCGGTATATAAATCTAAATGCTATCGCTAACACCCAAAATCTAACAATTAAGTTATCTGAAAAGTTTTTTTGTACAAAATTGATAATGATAGCCAGTAAGGCTTTCCCTAAGTCTTGTGCTTCTACATTTTCAACCTTAGTGGTCTGGACCCACTATTAGATTTAAAGAGTGCTTGATAAAATCCTGATTGGAATCTGGGGATACAGGAACATCAGTAGCGGAAAACTGTGGGTTCTTCCCTGCTTTTTCTGATACATTCTAGCTCCTAGCCCTCAAAAGTCGGCAAGGCCACTCCTCAGAGAGGATCATGACATCAAAGGGACAGAAGATCTTTACTATCATTTGAAGCAGAGTTCAGTATTCACTTAATTAACAAAACATTATTTTTCTATGACTTTTTCATTAAAAAAAATCCATGATGAGGTTAGGTTTGAGTATGTGAATCAAAGATCTGGGGTAAAAAGAGACACGACAGGGTTTATATCCCCTGTGTTTTTACCTAAGGATTCTCTTTCAGTATATGAATAAACATTTCTTTTATCATGAACCAATAAATCTTTCTTGTTCCTAAGATTGAGATTGAAAACATGTTGGAATAAACAGGTTAGAACAATTTCATCTGAAGGAACAGAACTTGCAATTAGGAAGTTATTTTATATAGACAGACTACATGATTTTCCTTTCATTACCACTACGTGGAGCTAATAACCCACAAATTAAAGTACTGAAACGGTTTCTTTCAACTAGAAATGATTTCCTGGAAATTTCCAAGCTACCAGTAAAGCAGTTTCAGATTGATAACATTTGGGAGAGTATACCTGTATACAGATTAAACAAAATGTGTATACAATCATACAGTTTAATCAGCAAGAATGGAATTTGAATTTTTAAAAGACGTTATGGCATTATGCCTGAGATTTTTTTTCCCCATTTTGGGAGAGATTTCCAAACTTCCATTATGTTGGGGAAAAAGGGGATCTCCTATTTCATCAGATTGAATGACTGGGCTTATCTAATTAGACAATCCACGCGCTGTTGGATCAAAATTTCAGAAATATTTTCTCACCTAAACAGAGAAAAAAGAATGAGAATAGGTGGGCAAAAAAGCAGTAGGAATAGGAATGACTTCCAACTTCTTGCCAACTTCCCTATTGAATATTTTATTTTATGTTATGTTATTATTTATAAAAATTTATCACAGAGAAACTTCTTCTCAGAATTTCCTTCTGGGAATCTGGCAAGGGGTATTTAGTATTTTAGTATTTAGTATTTTAGTATTTAGTATTTTAAAAAATACTAAAGAGATGTCCCTACTCAGAATTGTCTATTCTGTGTTCTATGGTCAATCAATAGATTTGTGAGTTATGCTAAAAGAATTTGAATTATTTAAACATCACAAGTACTGTAAAATCTTTATCATATTCCACAACATTTTTGAGTTATTAAACTGTATGTAGTTTTCTCCTACATCAGGAGATAAATAATATCTACTTAGTTTTGAGTTGCCTGAAGAGAGTCATGCACCTTAATATGTGTCATGTTTTATTTTTCAAAAACTATCATTTGTCAAAATTGGCATGAGTTAAAACAATTTTAAAACTTCTCATATTATTTACCCATGTTTCATGCTGATTCCACCACCAGTTCCTGTAACCCATCCTAAATGATAAAATTGCCGACAAAGCTCTGGAATCAAATTCCTTGGGTGCACATTTTCCTACAGGAGAAACAAAAAATATCTGGTCATTTAATATATTTTTTTAAAATACGTCTGCAGTGGTTAGTTGATTATTTGGATTAAAGATATGCATTACAGTATTTATATATCCTGTAGAAAATCTACGAGCACCCCCAGAATCATGTAATTGAAATGAGCAGCTATATAAATAAAATAAATTAACAAATGGTTATTGGGAGACAACACTGACTCTACAAAGTATATTTGCCCTGTAAAGTAGATCATATTAAGAATCCACTGTTATAATATAGATCAATTACTACTTTTATTATAAATCTATAGTAACAGAAACTTGCAAATTTGAATGTCCCTCTTCTCTCCCTCCCTTTATCTTTGGGAGAACTAGGTCTTCTCCGGGAAGTTTACTCAAATTACATTCCTATAACTCTTTCACGTGTCTCTCAGCATCATCTCTTTTTCTCTTTACAGATAGCGATAATGGCATGAATTACTCTAGCTAGATCCTCCTACACGCTAAGTTTGCAACTTAATGCACCAACTAAAACTGGTTATAGGTCTCTCTGATTTGGTTTCTACCTGCTATTCCAGGCGATGCCAGGAATCCAGGAGGACCTCCAAATTGTGAGCCTGTTCTCTGATGGCTACTGCTTACTCCGCAAACAACAACTCTACTGATGACTGAGAACCTTAACGAATCTACAATAGCTCATACTTACTAGGATGCAATTTCAGAGTATTCTCTTGTATCCAGACCCTGACAGCTTCCAAGGCTCCAGGAAAAGACATTGACAATATCTTCCTCATAACTCACATAGCAATTTACAATTGGGTATCATCCACGTATTGGTGACATGGCAACTGAAACTGTGGGATGACCTCTCCCAGCAGCTTTATCTAGATCAGTGTTTCTCAACCTTGACAATTTTAAGGCATGTGGACTTCAACTCCCAGAATTCCACAGCCAGCAATGCTGGCTGTGGAATTCTGGGAGTTGAAGTCCACATGCCTTAAAATTGTCAAGGTTGAGAAACACTGATCTAGATGCTAATGGTATTAAAAGCCGCTGAGAGGTCCAGTAAGACCAGGGTGCACTGTCTCCTTCGGGTCTTGACAAGTTATTTGGGAGAGGTTTTGAATATACTTTCTTAAGATGCAAACAGATGTCTCGCTTTAAATATTTCATTATGATTGGATAGCCATAAATTTTCTTAGAAAAGAAACACTTCCTTTTTCAGATTAAAAAAACAAATTACGTTTCTCAAACTCATTTCATTTGTTTGAGTAAAACTGTCAGCATATACCTTAAAATGGCTTTTAAATGGAGTTTTCCCTAAAATTATCACTAACATCTGCAGTTTGACACCTTTCACTTACAACATTTCAACAGATAAAAAATTAACAATCCCAGAACAATTAATGCGAAAGGACATTGACAGAATGTAGCTTTGTACAAGCTCTTCATCACTAATATGGATCTTTTATTTCTATAGTTATAGAAATAAATGTGCTTTGTAATTGTTCATATTGCTATATATAATCTAGCCTTTATACATGTACTGTTGCAAAATATTAAACCTACTTCCATAAGCTGAAAGGTTTTTCTCATTCAGTATCTTTCAAGATAAGCTGCAGCTTATGTTACATTTGGAAGTAATGCCAGACATTTGTGAAAGGATTCACCAAGGATTTATAAAATTTCTATTAAGCCATGGGGCTAAAACACATTGCGAAAAAACATTCCCAACTTTCTTTAACTGCATTTCTAAGAAAGGTTAGATATTTATTGTGTTTCCTATTAAATTAAAATAAAGGGCTGCGAACTATATCTTTTTTAAAAAGAATGCAGGTAAATCTGAGTTGTAGTTCATGAACTTCTCTTGTAGACTCTTTTTTTCCCCCATTCAATTCTGATTAATTATTGGAAACTGCTTGGAAAAGACCCTATACTTTTCTTGGCAAGGGTTTGTCATTGCCACTTTCTTAAGCCTGAAAGTGATTGGTCCAAGATTACTCAAATGGTTTTGCGATTAAGGTGGGACTTCAGCTCACAATCTTCCAGTTTCTAGTCTGATGCCTTAATCACTATACCAAATTGACTCACATATTCTTTCTAATCTCACACTAAATAGTGGGTGTCTTGTGTATGAAAGATAGCTTTCTCGAGATAAGTTGAATTCTCTCCTAAATTATAAAAGAATCTTGGATCAAACATGTTATCAATACATAATTCCCTGAGATAGATTTATGTAAGTAATACAATGCTTTCTGGAATATTTATGCAATATCTTTTTTTTAATTATGTTGCTTTCCATAGTCTCACTAATATTCAAACAATTTATGTCTCTGACAAGATACATTTTACGGTCTTTCCTGTGTGTACATTTCTCTAATATAGTATCACCAGATTTCCCAGATTCAAAGTTAAGAGTGAAGAATGCAAGCTGTTTTCTATTAAATTGTTTATTAATTTTTCCCCAGAATTCTCTCCCCCCCCGACTAGTAATCAAATGTTTTTTCTTGGAGATTTTTAATAGCTCATTCACAAAAATTAAACTGTACAAGTGGAGTTACTCCTCTGGGAACACCAACAAATGTTATCCCAAGTAGCAAGTAGCCAATACTTATTCCACTTTAAATATATATATTAGATGTTTTCTTATCTTTAAAGCTGCACTTGTGTGATAGTGAGTTCATATAAAAATCTTCCCAAAAGTGTTAAGCACAGCTAACAGCCACTAAACTTGGCCATCTTTAATTTAGTGTTCCATGAATATTGAGCATATGTTCTCATTTTTCCTCTACACTGGCTATTACTTTTTCATTCACGTGAAACTAATAATTTGCTAACATAGTTGGATTGACCTTTGCTACAACAGTTTTCTCCTTGTGCAGCAAATTATAGAAAGTCCTAACCAGGTCAATCTGATCAAAGCTTGCAATTCTAGTTTAGATGTAAATTGACAGATTATACTTCAGACCAATAGCAAACTATGTTTTCGCACAAAAAGGAGGGAACTGAGAGTTATATTCTCCTGATTTCCATGTCACATAATTTAAATTAAATTTATATGCCACCAATCTCACTCTATAAAGTGACTGTATATGAGGATTGTGAAGAATTCTTTTTTACAAATTGATAATTCCTGCTAAGCAAGTCTTGTAAAACAAGAAAAACCAAATTGAGAAAGGTTTTTCTATACCTTGTTTAGTGCAAAGGGCAAACCAAGGACTCTCCATTGGAGTAATTTATAGACTTGAAAATCAGGAATAAAACAAGTTTTCCTTCTCCGGCCTCAGACTTGCTTCATTATAATGCCACAAAGTTGAGATTTGTTTTGATTTCTTGGTTTTATTGAATAAACTTCAAACCAGAAGTTTTAAAACAAAATGGCTATGTTTACAGGTATTTCTGCCATTATTTTATAAACCAGAGTTTGTTGAGTAAAGCAACATTGACTAGTTTCATACAAATCAAACAAGAGAAGCACAGAATGGTTTAGTATGACACACATATACCAGTCAAACCTGGGCACTATTAAGATTGTTGAATTCCATGTCACAGGACTCTTCTCCTTCTCCACAAGCATAGATGTGAAATTTGGGAGTAAAAATGGTCAAACTGGAAAAGATTGAGTGGGCCTCATGTAAGAACCTAGACAATTATTGAATTTGGCATGGGGATGGCTACAGTGGGTCAGAGAGAAGATATGAAATTAATATAGGCAGAGTTGAGATTTTCTGTTGTCAACCCCTTCCCCCATTGCTTTGGTAGGTCCTTTTTTAAAAAAAAACCTGTGTTAATTTTATTTTAGAACTTATACTGCAGTTTGGTGTACTCCCTATCTTAACATGTGGCATCATCTGGACAATCTTATCTGGCTTGGAAACTAAACGGAGTTAGACATGATTAGTACTTTAATAGGAGACAAGGAATATCTGGGCTATAAGTTAGAGTGGAAACTTGAAAAATATCCTGAAGAAGGCAATGGCTACCAAGAAAACTGCATGGCTGGGTCTTTGAAATGATCAGAAGTGATCAGAAGTTGACCTCATATATATATATATATATATATATATATATATATATATATATTGTCAACTACATGCTAGTTTTTGGTCATAGATTTATATCCGGCTTTTCATTAACGACCTCAAGGTAGCAGACAAGGTGCTCTTTCTTCTTATTTTTCCCCCGATTACTACAGTCCTACAAGGTAGTTGGAAGATGAGCCCCTCAGGTCGAAAGGTGTCCAATATGCTACTGGGGAAGAGCAGAGGGCCAGTACTAGTAGCGCCAGAAAGAATGAAGCGACTGGGCCAAAGCCGAAAGGACGCTCAGCTGTGGATATATCTGGTGGTGAAAGAAAAGTCCGATGCTGTAAAGATTTTTTCTCCATAGGAACCTGGAATGTAAGATCCATGAATCAAGGCAAGCTCGACGTAGTCAAAAAAGAGATGACAAGACTGAACATCGACATCTTAGGAATCAGCGAACTAAAATGGACAGGAATGGGTGAATTTAACTCAGATGACCATCAGGTATACTACTGGGGCAAGAATCCCTCAGAAGAAATGGAGTAGCCTTCATAGTCAATAAAAGAATAGGAAAAGCAATACTGGGATACAATCCCCAAAATGACAGAATGATCTCAATTCGAATCCAAGGCAAACCATTCAATATCACAGTAGTCCAAATCTATGCCCCAACCACTGGTGCTGAAGAGGATGAAATTGACCGGTTCTATGAAGGCCTACAGCACCTTATAGAATTAACACCAAAAAATGATGTCCTTATCATCATGGGGGATTGGAATGCTAAGGTAGGAAGCCAGAAGATAACCGGAATAACAGGCAAGTTTGGCCTTGGAGTACAAAATGAATCAGGGCACAGGTTGATAGAATTTTGTCAAGAGAATACGATGGTTATAACAAACACTCTTTTCCAACATCCCAAGAGACGACTCTACACATAGACATCACCAGACGGTCAACATAGAAATCAGATTGACTATGTGTTCTGCAGCCAAAGATGGAGAAGCTCTATATAGTCAGTAAAAACAAGACCAGGAGCTGACTGTGGCTAAGATCATGAGCTTCTCGTTGCAAAATTAAGGCTTAAATTAAAAAAAAGTAGGGAAAAGCACTAGGCCACTCAGGTATGAACTAAATCATATTCCTAATGAATATACAGTAGAGGTGACAAATAGATTTAAGGAATTAGATCTGATAGACAGAGTGCATGAAGAACTATGGATGGAAGTTCGCAACATTGTACAAGAGGTAGCAACTAAAACCATCCCAAAGAAAAAGAAATGCAAGAAAGCAAAATGGCTGTCTGAGGAAGCTTTGCAAATAGCTGAGGAAAGAAGGGAAGCGAAAGGCAAAGGAGAAAGAGAAAGATACACCCAATTGAATGCAGAATTCCAGAGAATAGCTAGAAGAGATAACAATGCCTTCATAAATGAACAGTGCAAAGAAATAGAAGAAAACAACAGAATAGGGAGGACCAGAGATCTCTTCAAGAAAATTGGAGATATGAAAGGAATGTTTCATGCAAAGATGGGCATGATAAAGGACCAAAATGGCAGGGACCTAACAGAGGCAGAAGAGATTAAGAAGAGATGGCAAAACTACACAGAAGAACTATACAACAATGAGCTTAACGTCCCAGATAACCACAATGAGATGGTCACTGACCTCGAACCAGACATCCTAGAATGTGACGTGAAATGGGCCTTAGAAAATCTGAGCAACAACAAAGCTAGTGGAGGTGACAGTATTCCAGCTGAGCTATTCAAAATCTTAAAAGACGATGCAGTAAAAGTGCTACACTCAATTTGCCAGCAAATTTGGAAAACTCAACAGTGGCCACAGGATTGGAAAAGGTCAGTTTACATTCCAATTCCAAAGAAAGGCAATGCCAAAGAATGTTCAAACTATCACACCATTGCACTCATTTCACATGCTAGTAAAGTTATGCTTAAAATCCTACAAGGCTAGACTCCAGCAGTATGTGGATCGAGAACTACCAGAAGTACAGGCAGGATTTCGAAGAGGCAGAGGAACTAGAGATCAAATTGCCAACATACGCTGGATCATGGAGAAAGCTAGGGAGTTCCAGAAAAACATCTACTTCTGCTTCATTGACTATGCAAAAGCCTTTGATTGTGTGGATCACAACAAATTGTGGCAAGTTCTTAAAGAGATGGGAGTACCAGACCATCTCATTTGTTTCTTGAGAAACTTATATGCGGGTCAAGAAGCAACAGTGAGAACTGGACACGGAACCACTGATTGGTTAAAAATTGGAAAAGGAGTCCGGCAAGGCTGTATACTGTCGCCCTGCCTATTTAACTTATATGCAGAGCACATCATGAGAAAGGCCGGGCTAGATGAATCAAAAATTGGAATTAAGATTGCCGGGAGAAATATCAACAACCTAAGATATGCAGATGATACCACTCTAATGGCAGAAAGTGAAGAGGAACTAAAGAGCCTCTTGATGCGGGTGAAGAAGGAGAGTGCAAAAGTTGGCTTGAAACTCAACATTAAGAAAACCAAAATCATGGCATCCGGCCCTCTCAATTCCTGGCAAATAGATGGGGAAGAAATGGAGGTAGTGACAGATTTTATTTTTCTGGGCTCCAAGATCACCTCAGATGGGGACTGCAGCCAAGAAATTAAAAGACGCTTGCTCCTGGGGAGGAAAGCTATGGCAAATCTAGACAGCATACTAAAAAGCAGAGACATCACCCTGCCAACAAAAGTGCGTATAGTCCAGGCCATGGTTTTCCCAGTTGCAATGTATGGCTGTGAAAGTTGGACCATAAGAAAGGCTGAGCGCAAAGAATTGAGGCCTTTGAACTATGGTGCTGGAGAAGACTCCTGCGAGTCCCTTGGACTGCAAGGCGTTCAAACCGGTCAGTCCTAGAAGAGATCAACCCCGACTGCTCTTTAGAAGGCCAGATCCTGAAGTTGAAACTCAAATACTTTGGCCACCTAATGAGAAGGAAGGACTCACTGGAGAAGGGCCTAATGCTGGGAAAGATTGAGGGCAATAGAAGAAGGGGACGACAGAGAATGAGATGGCTGGATGGAGTCACTGAAGCAGTAGGTGAGAACTTAAATGGACTCCAGAAGATGGTGGTGGACAGGAGGACCTGGAGGAGCGTTGTCCATGGGGTCGCGGTGGGTCGGATGCGACTTCGCAGTTAACAACAACAACAAGGTAGTTTGGTCTGAAAAACAATGATTGGGAAAGTATCATCTACAGTACATGCTCAAAAGTGGAATGGTTTGACACTAAGCACAATGGAGTAATGGTTGATGAAAAAGTTTGTAGGGTTGGTAAAATTAATTTCTTTCCTTGGAGAAAAAACAACATTTACATTTATGATTGACTGGAAACCAATTATAGACTTTTTGCAAGAAACTAGAAAAAAAGTGTACTTTGATTTGTGGACGTGATTAGGAAAAAACTGGATAATAGAAAAAGTGAGCTTTTTTCCCTTTGTAATTATACAATAAGAGTTAATTTTGTAAATGTAATCTTGCTGCAGAAGAAATTGAAAGATTTTTCTCAGGCTCAACCTCTGATCTTTTATACTTTTTTAGTTTGTGTTAATTTTTATGTGCTTTGTAAATATTTTTAATAAAATTTATTTTTTTAAAAAGGAAAATGGTGAGATCAAACTTTGCACTTGGTGGAATACTATTGGGCTCATGATTAACATCAGAGATCCCATGACTCTACTCTATCTGCTGCATTAATCTTACCTAATAGTAAATCCAAAAATTGGATGTCACATCAGAAAAGTCAACTCTATAGTCCATTCTCACTTCAGTACGGTATCCAAGCACCAATGTGGCATCTTCCTATAGTTACTAACAAAGTGCATTAATTCTTCCTGACACATTAAATTTAAATAAATGTATCTAGAGGCAGAAACTCAACCAGCAAAAAATGCTTCCCTGTTAGGTTTTTGGCTTTTAACTGATACTATTTCTACTATAAATAAAGGGAAGCTTTTTTGTAGCAATGTCGAATTTTTATTATGTGCCATAAAGTCAATTCTCAAACTCGACCTGGACACCCAAGCGAGCAATGACACATGCTCACAACCTTAGGTTACAAGCGCGTTCTTTCTCTCACTCGCCTTTTGTGGGTGACAACTGAATCGGGTGATTCTGCTGAGCGCACCCCGTTACCTTTGCTTCCTCGAAGCCGTTCTTGTACGGAGAAGCGCAGTCCCCAAAGGGCTCCGTCATAGCGCTACAACCACTAGAATCTTCTTAGGGCCGGAACTGCTCCTTTCGGAGAAAGACACGGGCCCTTCCGACTCCGGCGCGGGGAGGAGCCTCCTCGCGTATCTCGAAAAGTCGCGGCGCAAAGAGCAATGCAGGTTCGGGAGTACGAGCCTTTGGTTGAGGGTTCATGGATTTGATGCGTTGCACCGTTACCTACTGTGTCAATGAAAAAGGGCGCACGGCCAAGAAGAGACGCACAGTTGCAAACATGACTCCAAATGCTGTGATGCAAAGATAACTTTTTTTAGCACCCATGCCTAGCCCATGACTGTGCCTTAATTTTCCAGGTCCCTCTTTGATTTGGTTAGATTGTGAGGGGATGGATGAGGTTTTTACAACCGGATTACATGCTAGGTAACGAGCTATTCTAGTCAGAGAGCTATCCAGCTATCTGACTAGAATAATAATAGTCTATTTTATAAGTGGCTGGGTCGCTTGTGTTTTCCTCCTGAACATATCAAGTGATCTTTCCTTTTATTTATTTCAAAACTGTTTTTCTTCCTTTCCTCCGACCAAAGCCATGTTAAAACTAAGATTACTGGTGTCAGACTCTGCATTAAACACGGGTAAATTACCATTCTCTTTATCTAGTAGTGTGTTCTGAATAACCAAATGGACTTTTAAAGGAAATTTTATTCTGCAACAAGTGTTTAGATCGAACCTATCAGACAAGTAACATTTGAAGTTCTTCATGATTTCCTTCAGTGTTTGCTATTCTGTTGATATGCAATATAGAAATCAATATAAGAGATGCTATTATATACAGTTTTATTTTACTGGGAGGAGGTGAACTGTGGCCCGATGCACATACAAAAGAAATTGGTTGAGGTTGTGCTCATATCTCATATTTTAAAAAACTCTTGAAATATAAAAGATGTACTGAAAGAAATCGACTAAAGCCAGAATGTTTCTTCCTCATTTTTTCATAGCAATCACCGTAAACAAATGGAATCGGCTTTCTGTTTAAGGCAAATTGCGCTTTAAAAGTACAAATTACTTCGGAGAGCGGGAGGCTGGTGTACGGCTATCGAGTTGGTGAGCGAATTCAGGCAGAAAAGACACCTTGCTGTGGTGGGAATACTTTTTTCAGGCAATGCCATAGACAGCCTGGCCTCGGAAGGGGAGGGAAAGGGGGAAGATGGCAGCCTCCTTGTGGCTGATCCACCGCTGCAGAGGGACGATCAATCGCTTGCTGGGCAGGAATTTAATACGAGCCCCCCTCGGTACCTTGTCCCAGGCGGTGGGCTGCAAATTCCTACACACGACCCCGGAAACCTTGGGTGAGTGCCTGACTGTTCCCAGGGAAATTGCTCTTTTAATCATTTGTTGTTAAACCTGGGGTTCGGCTTGGTAAACCGGTGAAAACAGCAGGGATGGGGCTGTGCTTCTATGGGGTAGCGGTTTCAAGAAAATAGCAAGAATAGGACGCTGGGCCAAATAGCCAGGATGTGGAGCTGAAAGCTGAATTAGTATTGATTTGGTTCTGTGGTATAGAGAAGGATCTTGCGAGTGGCTGAGGCGGCTGAATGACCTTTAGGCTTTCTGTTAATGTAGATCTATTTCTTTCCGTCTCTGGAAGGTTTCTTTTCAGAATTAACGAAGTAATTTCAGAAATTGGCTTCCTAATATAATATAGGCCAGAGAGAGGGGAGGAGAACTACTTATATTAGAGTTAAATCAGGGATCCCAAAAGTGGGCCGACTGTCTTTTGTGAAATGAAATGTCTAAGTGTATTTTACATTTTCATCTATTCTAGAATATATTTTCAAAGAGTTAATTGTGTAGGTTGTATGTGACTTACGACTATTTTTCACACTTACAACCATTGCAGCTTCCCCAGTCACATGATCGAAATTCAGACACTTGGTAACTGATTCACATTTATGATGGTTGCAGTGTCCTGCGGGTTGTATAATCACTTTTTGCAACCTTCTGACAAACAAATTTAATTTAACAACTGCAGTGATTAAGTTAACAAATGTGGCAAGAGAGATCGTAAAATGGGGAAAAAATCACTTAACAAATGTCTCACTTAACAGAAATTTTGGGGTCCATTGTAGTGGTAAGTCAAGGACAACCTGTATTTATAGTAGTCATATTTCATACTTTCAGTACTCTTCATGCATATATCTTAGATTTAATAAGAACACAATATTGTATATTGTTGATTCATATTTAGAATATTTGTATTCCTCAGTCTAAAAAGATAAAGTGGCAGATAATTAACAGGAAGTATATCTGATTATGATTCAGGTTTATTTCCAGATACATTCTAAAGTGAGGATTTAATAGTCTTACATATGTGAGCCAATCTCTCTGTGTATGCAAATATATTTAATTAGTATATCACTTTTTAATAAATTCACATACAGATTTTGTTTTAAAGTGAACCATAGGTAATCTTCAACATACAATCACGTATTTAACAACCATTCAGTTACAACAACTTTGAAAATGACTTGCAGCCATTATAAAACATCATCCTCCATCACTATGGTCATATGATGGCTTTTGGGGTAGTTGGCAGCTGGCTCACATTATAAAACATCATCCTCCATCACTGTGGTCATATGATGGCTTTTGGGGTAATTGGCAGCTGGCTCACATTTGGGGTAGTTGGCAGCTGGCTCACAGTTACCAAGTGCCTTGGTAAATGTGATTGCCATTTATAATCTTTGCCACTTTCCCCAGAAAGTCAGTGAGGAAGCTTGCAGGGAAAGTTGAAGCAGAGGAAATGGGGAGCTACAGATTTTAATCAGTATTGAGTCTTTCATTGATGATAGTCTAAGCCAGTGTTTCCCAAACTTGACAATTTTAAGACATGAGGACTTCAACTCCCAGAATTCCACAGCCAGCAACGCTGGCTGTGGAATTCTGGGAGTTGAAGTCCTCATGCCTTAAAATTGTCAAGTTTGGGAAACACTGGTCTAAGCCATGGGTCTTCAAACTTGGCCCTTTTATGACTTGTGGACTTCAACTCCCAGAATTCCTCAGCCAGGCATGCTGGCTGAGGAATTCTGGGAGTTGAAGTCCAAAATCATAAAAGGGCCAAGTTTGAAGACCTCTAGTCTAAGCAGTTAAGCATTAAATAAAGGATCAATATAAACATCTAAATTACCTGCCCTAATTTGGTTCCAAGGAAAAATGTGTTGTTTTGCAATTATCAGATTTTGCTCCTTAAAATTCCTGGAATGATAGTGTATAGTGTGCATAAAGGCTAAAATAGATGTATCCAACCAACGGTCCAGGACAACTAATAATGCAGTCCCACAAGATTATAAACTTTTAACATTGTTATATTATGTATATTAATATATATTATATTAACGTGTGTACACACACAGACACACACACACACACACACATATGATAAAGTAGATCACAACCTACTACTTGATAAGATAGAAAAATGTGGGGTAGACAGAATCACCACCAGATGGATCCATAGCTGGCTGATCGGCCGTACTCAGCGAGTGGTCCTCAATGGAATTGCATCTATATGGAGGGAAGTGTATAGTGGGGTGCCCCAGGGCTCTGTTCTGGGCCCAGTACTCTTCAACATCTTCATCAACGATTTGGATGAAGGGATAGATGGGGAACTCATCAAATTTGCAGACGACACCAAGCTGGCAGGAATAGCCAACACTCCAGAAGACAGGCTTAAGATACAGAAGGATCTGGACAGACTTGAACACTGGGCACTAACTAACAAAATGAAATTCAATGGTGAAAAAAGCAAGGATCTACATTTAGGCAAGAAAAACCAAATGCACAAGTACAGCATAGGTGGCACCATGCTCAATAGTAGTAACTGTGAGAGGGACCTCGGAGTCCTAGTAGACAATCACCTAAATATGAGCCAGCAGTGTGCTGCAGCTGCCAAAAAGGCCAACACAGTGCTAGGCTGCATTAACAGAGGGATAGAATCAAGATCACGTGAAGTATTAATACCACTCTTCAATGCCTTGGTAAGGCCACACTTGGAATACTGCATCCAGTTTTGGTCACCACGATGTAAAGAAGATGTTGAGACTCTAGAACAGCGGTTCTCAACCTATGGGTCGCGACCCCATTTGGGGTCGATCGACCATTTCTCGGGGGTCGCCAAACAAGGCGATCCGCCATTTCTCCCCCTCAGGGGACGCCGCCGCGCATGCGCGCCGCGCACGGGGGGGTGGCGCCACGCATGCACGCCACGCCGCGCATGCACAGCACGTTTGTGTGACGGGGTCGCCGTCACACAAACGTTGAGAAGCACTGCTCTAGAAAGAGTACAGAGAAGAGCAACAAAGATGATTAGGGGACTGGAGGCTAAAACATATAAGGAACGGTTGCTAGAATTGGGTATGTCTAGTTTAACGAAGAAAAGGACAAGGGGGGACATGATAGCAGTATTCCAATATCTCAGGGGCTGCCATAAAGAAGAGGGAATTAAGCTATTTTCCAAAGCACCTGAAGGCAGGACAAGAAGCAACGGGTGGAAACTAATCAAGGAGAGAAGCAACCTAGAACTAAGGAGAAAGTTCCTGACAGTGAGAACAATTAATCAGTGGAACAGCCTGCCTCCAGAATCAGTAAATGCTCTAACACTGGAAGTTTTTAAGAAGAGACTGGACAGCCATTTGTCCGAAATGGTGTAGGATTTCCTGCCTGAGCAGGGGGTTGGACTAGATGACCTCCAAGGTCCCTTCCAACTTTACTACTATTACTATATATATATATATGTATGTATGTATGTATGTATGTATGTATGTGTATGTATATGTATGTATATGCATATGTATATGTATATATGTCTGTCTGTCTGTCTTTGGTTATTTGGGTTTTCTCCCGCGTATATATACACACACTCACACATACATTACATGTATATATTATATATTTTATTCCCTCTTCAATCAGTGGGGCCGAGGCAAGCCAAAAGGTTGAACACCCCAGGGCTAAAGTGTCATTGAATTGCTGAATCTAGCTTGTCAATCATGCAGCATTCTTGGCAGCATTGCATTTTTCTGAAATGTTTTTAGTGTTCTTTAGTCTGCTGTTATGGAGTTC